GCCACCCAGCCATATATATGCTGGTCTGTTCCAGGATTTGAGTCCAATATGAATATAAATGCAACTCTGTGCAGATAAACAATGTAGCCCCATTGTTTATAAATAAATCCTGGGAGGATTTTTGCATATAATTCAGGATTTGGATTGGTAATTTGTTCACCTTATTCACCACTATAAAAAAGCTTTCGAGTGACCTGGGGCAAGTCTATGGATCAATGAAAATATTGTTCATCTTCATTGATAAATAGTTACCAGTGATCACAGAAGTGTTCATAAACAGGATACAAAGATCTTCAGCTCAAAAAATGATTGAAAAAGAAAATGAAATTATCAACTATAACTACTGGATTTTGTTAGCTTCATTTTTATAAGACTTTACCAGAACATAAGAGGGATACATGGTTGTTTCTCCAGCCTATTTATTTCCATTGAGGTCCATGTGATTTAGGTATGGTGGCTTATAGTAAACAACAACAAATTATTAGACTTGTATGCCACCCAATTCTCAATGACTCTGACAAGTTTACTACGACACCTGTTGAAGCTCCTACTTTAACTGCCTTCCAGAAGCAATTGAAAACAGAACTCTTGGGTGGATGGGGAGGGGAATGATACCATAATCAAGGCTTATTTTATTTTATATTTGTTATTATTTTAAGTGAACTATTAATGTTTAAATTGTTTATAATGCATCCTGTAAACTGCCAATAATCTTTCAGGCTTCCAGCAGGGTATAAAATTAGATAGATAGATAGATAGATAGATAGATAGATAGATAGATAGATAGATAGATAGATAGATAGATAGATAGATAGAATACAGTAGAGGAAAAAGTCCAGCATTGAGTAAATAAGCACTTCAAATATGTTTCACATTACACTCTAAGTTACAGACACCATTTATTACCATACCTGCAAGAGGTAAATGCTAGTTTAAATACAGTATGGCATATTTTGAAGCTTTACCCTTTGATGTTAATACACTTCAAGCAAATAGTAACTCTTCATGAAACAAATATATCCTTACAGTAGGATTCTTTCTTATCTTATTGCAAGTTAGTTGTTAAAAAGCAGTATGTTTCCAAGCATCCACAGATTTGGAATTCCTTTTTTTGAAAACTGAGGCATGAAAAAATAAGCCAGATAGTAATAAATAAACATAGGCCTGACTAGGCCTAGCTGGAAGGAATATGCTGTACTGTTAATGTCCCCTTTGTAAATCCTCTTTCTTTTGTCTATATTTTCATTAGTTAATGAGGACTCACAAAAATGGGCTGTTCTAATGGTATTTTTGCAGTTTCGCCTCTAGAAATATCTTAAAATATTCATAAGGGACTTTGTCATTGAAGGTACATTATATATAAATTCAGGCAATAATTATCTCAGTTGTATAAGTTAAATGGATGCAAAACACAAATAATCCTCAATAGATATACTGCCACAATTGCTGTTATTTTTAAATTGACAATTTAGGTGTCCTTTAAAAACATTATGGAAAAATAATCGTTTCAAGCTGGTTTTCATAGCTTGAATTCTCTTTGACATACTACGCAGATGATTGTTAAAGAACTTGCTAATGGAAAATGGTGCTTTGCAGCTTCTAGTCAACATTAATAATCTGCACAGATTATTTGCAACCAACTTCTCTCGATTCATATTCTACTTTGATAAAAAGTATCAGTGAAGGAAGTGTCTATCTTCCAAAAAATCTTTATTGTAGATGGCGCTGACAACTTCTGCATTAGCATCTCATCATAAAGGTCTTCAATTGAATGAACTACAAAGATTAAACTTCTTTTTCTAAAATAAACAAACCAATGATTTCAGCTCAGTGCAATGTTGTTAGGCATGGAAGAGGTATTGAAATAAAAATGCAAAAGTCACAGATTCATCACAACTGAATGGTTGTGAATTGTGATTTTTATTTGTTATTGTTTTGATTTATTCATGGTCAGCATAGCTATTTATTTAAAAAGATATAGAAGATTCCTTAACAATTTAAGTAGGTGAAATGGTCACCCTTGTTTCTCATGCCCATGAATATAAGACTTGAAGCTTCTTGATTAAAAATATAGGTTTTAACTCTGCTTCATTTTTCCCAAGAAATCTTTATTTTCCCTTTGTGAAACTCAGGTTGCAGCTGTTACAAATTCTAAATGGTTGAGTATTGTACTAGGACTGGGGAGATTTACGCCCAAATTCACTCTCAGCCATGGAAGCTGAAAGGGTGATTTTAGCCAACCATTATGTCTCACCTAGATCTACCTCGCAGATTTACAGCTGTGAAATAAAACTGAAGGAAAGAGTACTACGTATGCTTGTTATAAATGATAAGCTGTAAGTGTGCAGTCCCAGATAACCAATCCACCTGCAAACAGAGAGTCAACAACTTCACAAGGAAGAGATGCTGTTTGTCACATAGACAGACATACCCAGCCTTTCTCTCTTGGAGACAGAATGTTTGAATCCTTTTTAAAACAAATGAAAAAATCTTCAGGTAGAACTGAAAGAGGTAGCAAAAGAAGAAATTGGGTACTGAGGCTGAGGAAAAGATTGGGGTTCTGTCCATCTCCACAGCAGCCTTAGAATTAATTTATTGGAATCACCAGGATGTGGGAAATCCAGGAATAATTGAGTCAGAGAGAAAATCTGTTTCAGGAAACTGCTATCTCTGGAAAGATAGATGAAACCATTTACCTGGAATGTTGTGTCAAGTTTAATCATTGTTTCATTATGTTGGGCTACAGTTTCTTATCTTTTACTTCTCTACAAGGTAGGAAATGTGTATTCATTAAGTTATAGTATTTCTATAGAATCCTGTATTCTGAAATAATAAACTGACTTCTGTTCCAATCTCTTTAAGAGGCTCCCCCCCCCCCCCATTTGTAGCAGATATTGCCATCTTGTGGTCTTCCTGGAGTATCTCTTTTGCATGTTCTTTTGTATTGTCTTGTGGCTGTTTTGTTTGGTTGAAATCCTGATTATGACAATTTTGCATTTGCTTCCTCTGCATTTATTTATTTATCTCCAAAATAGAGAGGTTTTGTGTCTTAAAATCTAGTTAAATAGATTAGTACAGTATATTTTCTTTCTTTCTTTTTATAAAGTTTGATTTTGTTTATCTCTGACGAGATCGTTCTATCTCCCAAGGAGAAGAAGGGCTAAAACTTCTAGTGACATACCTCTAAGCGATATAGCCATGAAGTTGTGATACATAAATGATTTCATCTTTTTCCTTTTTTTTATCACCAGAAAAGGAGCATAGATTGCAAGAGCTCTGTCTCATAAACAGAGGACAGTGTCCTTTGGAAGATAGGTGGTGGCAGCGGGAAATACCAAGCTGCTGAACCAGAGCAGGAGTATGAAGACACAGAGGGCTTCAGAGGGAGGAGGTTTGAGACCTCCAGCTTTCAACCTATAAAAATGTTTCACCAAAATGCTGCCTTGAGTTCCTAAAAGAAAGGCAGGGTATAAATTTAATAAATAAATACATAATCACATCTATGCACCTCAAAGTATTTATTGCCAGTTTTGACATATAAATAATTGTGATAATATGTAAATGGAAATAGTAGCTTGAGCAAAGTTGCCCAGGCTCCCATAACATCACACTTAGATTATTGTAATCTCATTTGAAAATTGTTTGAAAATTGCAAATAGTGTCAAAATCAGGGCTTAAATCATATGATCATGTTTTGCCACATGCACTGGCCTTCAGTTCATTTAATTAATCTTTATAACTTTTAAATGGCATGTGACAATGTTAGGTGAAAACATACTTCTCTCATAAAAACTTACCCATAGCCTTGTCACTTTGTAATGTTTCAGACTAACTCCCACAGCCCCTTCCATTATCCATGTTGGTCCTGAATATCTGAAGCACCATGCTACTTATTCCTGAATTCCATTTTATGTTCCAAATGCCCTCCCCAAGCATGACATGACATCCCACCCGTGAAATAGTTGTTGTGGTCATTCCATATTTTATAGATCTGTATTTTTTAAACTATGAATGAAACATTTGAATTCTTCATAAATTAACTTTTTATCTTTTGGAGAAAATACGTTTACGCTTCAATAATGTGGGGTTTATTTTTAATACTGTATCTTAATGTGGTCACCATTTGATCTCATCATAATCACGTAAGCAATGGAGAGTATATATGTAACTGGACTATTTATTATAAATATAGCTAAAATAAGTAAAACACTGGCACTGGGGAAGGACCAAAGAATAACCTGGCAAAATCATGTAGAACAGTTTTTCCTAACAATGCTGGCTGGACTTGCAGCACATTTTGGAGGAACCAGGTTGTCAAAGTTTGCATTTCAAGGAGACTATTGATCAAAGGCAGTATCACTTGCACATGGTTTCTGTTCACTTAAGGTCTTTTGCTATAAAGCATTTTTTAAGCCCCCAGTTGTCAAACAAAATCTTTGCAGGTTCAGAGTCCCACAATAAACCAATACCTTTTAGAATTCAAATGACAATGTCAGGGAGCAACCATTAAGAAAATGAACGCAACATTCAAGTGACACATGTTCATCTGGAAGTATGCATTCATTTTGTTATGTATTAAAAATGACAGACATATATGCAGAATAGTATTCCAAAATTAAGAGTTTAAATAATTCAAAAAACATTTTAGAAGACATTGCTATTATATCTGCTAAAGAATTTTGCTATAGGTTTACTCACTGTTTCTGGCCCTGCTGCTTATCAGTACATTATCTGTAAAATGGGACAACTTGCTAGGTAAGAAAGAAGCTACTAAATCAAGGTCAGTCACTGACTTGGTTGTCACTATTCATCCCATTAATAATCTTTTTTAGAGCTCCCCATACTTCCTCTTTCCTACTTACAAACTCTACAGTCACTCATGCATCCATGTTAGCTTTGTCGTTTACAGATCCTTTTAGTTGTTTTAAACCCAGTGCAGTTTCCTACTGACCAGCTGGCTTGCAAAAACTTCTTCCATTCAGTGGTTCTGACAAAGCATGATGGCGCAGGTGGAAGAACACCAGTGCAACAACAAATCTCCAATACTGCCATGTTTTGATTAACACCCAGAATCTTTCATTAGTCATCACCTCTCACTGAAACGGGATTGATCTACAAAAGGGTAGGATAGAAGGTGATACGTACTGAAGTTGAATAAATGTTTGAGAATGGTACCGCCCTGACATTCTCTCATTCCTTGATTCCTACACTAGCATGACTTCTGATTGCATGTTCATGTTTTGCATATTCATATATAATAGATCAAAGTCAAAAACAGGTAGTGATCACCCCTTTATTTTTCTTACATTGAAGATAAAAATGAAAGTTCAGTATAGAGGTTAAGGCACCAAGCTAGAAACCAGGAGACTGTGAGTTCTAGTTCTGCCTTGGGCACAAAGCCAGCTGGGTGACGCTGAACCAGTCACTCTCTCTCAGCCCTAGGAAGGAGGCAATGGCAAACCACTTGTGGAATCTTGCCAAGAAAACTGCAGAGACTAGTCCAGGCAGTCACCAGGAGTCAGTACTGATTTGAAGGCACCAAAAAAAAAAAAAAAGTTGGAATATATTTCTGATTCATTGGTGACTTTATAAATAAACATAGCATGTACCCATGCCTAGTATTTAGTTTATGGGAATGGAACAAAATTATGCTCCTGCAGACCAAAAATACTTATTTGCCATGCAATAATTCTGTAACTTCAGCTTGATCTGACTCTTGCACATACTGATTTGTTGCTGATTCAGATGTACTGGATCAAAAGCACAAGAAAGTATTTACAAGTAACATCATTTGATTTAACTTGTTGTTAGTTTATTTAAATATAGCCTGGAAATTACTATTATACGTAATCGAATAACGTATAATTTCCAAATATTTTCCAACAAGGGTCATTTTTTTCCATCCTCACTTTGTACTATAGATCTTTCTTGCCATTTTCAAGGTTATATTTTGTCCTTCTGAAAATTAACAATTGGTAACTAAAAACTCCTCTGCATTTTAGATTTGCTACATTTGAAACATTGGAATATTATGTTCTTCTTTGTTTATTAGCATGAGAGAGAACATTCAGGACATGTTGAGAGACAGTATTAATATGCTTAAGGCAAATACTGGCGGTGGTTGAATACAATTCTGGCAGAGTTAAGTGCTCTGTATAGAAATCATACTGTCTGCTGAAAGAATTGCTTTCATATTTGTCTCACGCACTGCTTCTCCTACTTGTTGTTTTGCAGGTGATCCATATAACAGGAAGGTTACGACTAAGAGTGTCGCTGTCTCATGGGCGGACCGTGCCAAGCCAAATCATGGGGCTTGTTGTCGTTGCTCATGCACTACCCCCTCCTACAATCAATGAAGTCAGAATTGACTGCCACATGTTTGTTACTCGAGTAAACATGGACCTCAATATCATTTACTGTGAAAATAGGTATCACATTTGGGCTACTGTTTTGTTTTATTCTTCCAGAATCCTCCAATGAAATATATGTTTTGTACTAGACTATTTGTTTCATATGACGATAATGATAATGCAGATGTATGTGTTCCTCTGATCAGACTTCCAGAATTGTACGCAGAAAGTGAGAGCTTTATTTTGAGATTTGGAAAACTGAACTGGAGTCTGATTGACTGATAGTTGCCAAGGGAGTTAACTAGAAAGAAAAATCACAATTTAAATGTCAGTTTTCTGACTGCAAGACTCCCGTGGTACTCTTTGGATTAGCATTTCCCACAATGGAATGCTAGTACTCTGGAGAGTATAGATGAGAGTAAATGAGGAAAATAAAGAATCCAGTTCTCCCATCCTACAGTATATGCAACCTCTATTCAGACAATCATATATATAATTTCAGAATTCCTCCTGAAGCACTAAATGTTGTCCTGAAAATCTTTTCCTTGGAGCCACAGAATGTCTCAGGTATCTTAATTTTCCTCTCAGAGCTGATTCAATATTACTCTGCTTCTCACTGCCACCCCTGGGAAGCGGCAGTGAGAAATATTAGTACTACTTGTAAATTTGGAGAAACAACACTGCTTTTGTTGTTCACAACGAAGTTTAATTTTAAAAAACGGGAACTGGCAGTACAGAATGAGAATATGGGATGTACTGTAGCTCAGATATTTTCAATTGTATTTAATCAGTTGCAAAATATTGCTAAGATTTTTTTGTACAACTTGCTTTCATTTTCCCTGTTAAAGCTGAAAATGTCTGCAATATCCCTTTAGCCCAAATAATTCTACATTTGTTGCTTTACTGAACCTTTCAAGAAACAGCTGCTGTTAGGTCATTGGAGACATACGTTTGATCATATTGAGGAAAGCAGAAGTTTTGCCCTTGAAAAGTGGGAATGTTGCCCCCCAAAAAACAAGGGAAAGATAGTAGTTGTTATGTTGATAGTAAAAGATGTTCAGGTATACCAGGGCAATGGGAATGTCTTAAATAAAAGCAAAAAGTGGATACTTGATTTTATTTATATGTTTGGGTAATAGATTATGACTGATGTATGTATTATTGAGAAAATCATGGGCTTCTTGCCTTGCTTTGCTTCAGATCTTCTCCAAAGTGAAATTCATAAGGCCATCTGAGATTTAGAGATCTCAGAATGGATGTAGTATACTTAATCATTTTCTATTTTTTAGAAGTACATGAATCAACTTTTAGGAAGGCGTGGAGTTCCCTTTCTAAAGAGAATCTGAAGACAGTGAAATTAGCCTTATTCTCATGACTACCCAAACACAGTGAATACTTATTGGGGGAAAGAAGAGAGAGTGGTATATTTGGCCCTGATCCTTGATTTGCATACTGTATTTGGTCACATAAGCAATTCTGTGCATTCAAAGTATATCCACATTTGGCACCTCTACTTTTTGAAAGGTTCCAATGTGTACAGGATCCATTCAGCTGAGGAGCAATAATCCTGCTCCTCTCTTTCTAATTCCCTGTTTATGGATAAGTTATATAAATAAAACTATAGTCTTTCAGCATGCAACTTATCAAAGTGTCATCTTGCCTTAAAATATTCAGTGCAACCATTTATGAATGGCTTTTCTACATGCTTGCAACAGATCAGATAAGTGGCTGTCTGAAAGCAGATGAGCGGTGAATCAGCAGAACTCAGTGTAATGAATGAAATCACATGCTCAGGAGCTCTATTTGTAATGAATAGTTGGCAGTGTTATCACATCAATCTCCAGCTGGTTCAGTTAAGTTCACATAGTCATAATATCTTAACACAATAGAATCTAAATTTATATATATTAATAAAATGCAAGAATATCCTAAATTCTGCATACTAGAGAAATGCCCATCAATTTTACAGGCATGATGGAAAAAAATTATATGTACTTCAGCACAGCCCTGTTCACCTAAAAAACTATTACCTACTCAACTAAGAAAAGAAATGACAATGTGTACAGTAGTGGCTCTTGTTTTAGATCATGGACCCCTTTGAGACTCTGATGATGGACACCCCACCTCAGAAAAATGCACATAAACACACATATACAAGATTGATTTCCCTCTACCATACTATAAAAGCACACAATTTCCTCTCCCACCTAACATCAAGCATTATTATTAAACCATATTATAATAACCAGTTTGGCTGAAAACAATTATAATGAATACTTGGAAAGATTAAATTTGCATCTTAAAATTTAGTCTGATTTGGTGAAAACAAAGACAGATGTCCATAATCATAATGACAGTACACATTTTCCTTAATTCCTATCAACTGTTGTCACTATTGGGAGGTTCTTGGAGCAAAACAATTTGAGATACGTCCATCACAGGTAGCCATGTCACAATGTATTACTTGGAGAACCTCCTCCTATGGCTATAGGACAGCTGGTGGGTCAGCAGTCCACTCTGAAAATAGTGCAAAATGAAATTAGGAGAGCATTAGGGGATATTTGTCCCAATTGCCACCTGTCTGAATCCACCATTCCAAATGGATGATTTAACTAATGGTTGAGCCAGCCCAGCCAGTAGATTTCAGTTAGATCAGGTGGCCTAAATTATCCATTCCTATCAAACTATTCTCCATTTGCCAGCACTGCATGTGGCATAACAGGTTAGGCAAGTGGATGATTTTCTTTGGAGAGCTATAACTATTCCCAGCTGTTTCCAATTGTTTCCTTGTGATAAATTTGATGTGAAGAATGGAACAGATGCTCAAGGGTTTGTTTCCTTTTGCTGTCATTTCCATGCTGAGTACACATGGAAAGGGCAAAACGAAAGACAGGTCCTGCCTCTTACCCATGGTAGAGGGAATAAAATGGAGGTCTAGACTATATGGATGCTATTATGCAGATTATTCCTAATTTCTTATCCTCTATATCTGTCTCTCCTCATTAGCAACACCTCCATTTTAACTTTAGTTCAGAAATGGAAAAGTTCCATTCATCTATTCTGGAAGAAGAAGCTAGTGGTAGCACATTTTCTGATTTTTCCTGCTTCCAGATGATGTGAACAGTCACTAAAAATTAAAAAAAAAAAAAAAACCCACTGTACTTCAGTATCTGATTTTTGTCAGGTGGTGAGAACCTGACAGGTAGTTCCCTAATCTGCTCTAATTTTTTTTTTAGTCACACTAAGTTCTTATTGTCTCTCAGAGTGACTGTGGGAACTAGCTGTGTGCCAGTAATCTCCTGTACTCTGAGTGTGTGAACCCTGAATGTACTTTGATAGCTCTATTTCATCCCCAGTATTACCCATCTGCCCTACAAGAACAATCCTGCAAAGAGTTCTCTCAGAATCCTAGTGACAAAAAGTCCCCATATAGTCCCAGTACATTCTGTGAGTGTGAGAACACTGTTTTTAAAACATAACTGTGAGTTACATCTTCCAAACAAGTGGAAGAACCCAGTGTCTTGCTGACCAGGCTAATTCGCCCTCCTGATTTTCAATTTGGGAGGATTTTTTTTTAACACAGACGCCTGAGGACATTGACATCTGGACAATCAATAAGAGAAACGCACATACAGAGAGAAGCAGAGCAGAGCATAGAGCAGGAAAGGCTACTGAAAGGATTTTAAAGTTTCTGCACAGAGTAAACCACAAAGTCCCAGTTAAAAGAGCTAGGAGTGAAAGCAGAGCTCCCAGCTGAATAAAACTAAAAAAGATAACACCCTCAGGCATCTGTATGTCTCAGCATTTAAATTATATTGCTTGAAATGTCAATTTGGACTCTGTGCCAGGAAACAGTTGAAGAGCCTTTTTTCATGAATATACTCAATAGAAGACCAATCTGTTGAAATGAAAGATGTTTCTAATCATTTTGCATAAGCATAACATGTTCTTACTTTATTGTGTAACCTTGAATTATCTTGCTCTTTTAATGAAGAGCTTTGTATTTTAAGGAATCCTATTATCTTTGTGGCTGTTGTTAAAGCTGGACCTATGGACAATTTGGTTTTGTATTTGTTAAAACAAACAGGCTGGCTTCAGCAGGGAGGGAGGGAAGGCAGGCAGGCAGGCTGGCCGGCTATCTTAGCTTGACTTGGGGTTTATTATAGAAGTGTTTATATGAGAATAAAGAAAGCCAAACTGCCCTAGTGTTTAAGGTGCTGGACTAGAAGTACTGGCTGACTTTGGGCCAGTCATTCTTCCTCAACCCTAGGAAGCAAAGACAACCAAGTAAAAACAACAGTAAACTACTTCTGAAAATGCTTCTAACACAACTGCATGGACGTGTCCATGTAGTCCCCAGGCGTCAAGATTGATTCAAAGACACGCATACAGACATAAAAGAAAATAAATAGCAGCAATATTACAGAAGTTTTATATGTCTCTTTTTAGAAACTGAATTTGGGATTTTCTTGTTAGTAGATAAAACTATGGGTTGGGGAAATGCCAGCTTCTGAGCCAGCACAACAAAATAACATGAAATTGTCATCAAAGGGATGGTTTTCCGGGCAGATGTATAAATTTGGGATCAGACTGGAAGACATTTCATTGTTGTATTTTCCCCCTTTCTCAGTTTATAGGCTCTGTTTTTCCTTTATAGGATTAGCGATTACATGGATCTGACCCCTGTAGATATCGTAGGGAAAAGATGTTACCACTTCATTCATGCTGAAGATGTGGAAGGGATCAGGCACAGTCATTTAGACTGTAAGTACTCTAGTCTTATAAAAATCATTACCTTACTGTTACAATGTGCAACTGAACTAATACTTGCAGTCCAATCTATGGGCCACTATATTTTCTCTTTGAATTTATTTGTGGATGATTTAGTTATACATATAATCCTCTGTTACTAAGGCAATTAGTGAATGTTCAAATGTGAACCTGATAAATTCAAATCAAACTGAATCTCTGATCACAGAATGTGAAGAGGTTTTTTTGTGCATGAGAAGTTTTGAAATATCTGCATGAAAATTGAACTCAGAAGATCCGTCTGTTCATGTGACAAAGCATAGCATAAGTATAGTAATTAATTCTGTCGACATGATAAAAGTTACCTTAATGGGATAGACCTAAAACCCATTGTTGTTAGAGCAGGTCAACAAAATCAAGCAATATTTAATATGATCCTAGCCGAGGATGGGGCAGATACAGCAAAACTGTCCACAAAGTAGATCAAAGCAGGCAAGCAAATGATGATGCAAGCCCTGCCTCTTACATAGTTGCACATAGCATTGTGATGCAGACATAAAAGGGGCAGGGCTTACATTGTGATGTCATGGTGCACGGTTGACCTTGTTTGCCAATAATAAGTGATCCACCTGTCATTAAGCAACAAATACTTTTGCCTTGACACCTTCGGCAGCTAACAATTAGGCTGGATGGCCACCAAAGAAGGGAAG